AGGTTTTGAGAAAATCAGACTACATATATGAAGGCAGAGTGAAGTTGGCTCTCAAACTAAAAAATTATATTAAAACTAAAATAAGATATTTAAAATTCTAAAAACTTGTTTGCAGTTTTTTTTAATGACCAACAACATATTGGATACAATTGACCAACGTGATGAGTGACTAACTTCACGTACATTAAGACAATAGATAAGTATAGGATGACAATCTTTGACAAAAAATATTTGGTTTCAATATTATTTAATTCTTCCGGAGATAATATAAAAGAAATAAAATATTTTTTTTCAAAGATAATGTCATCTTACTATTTATATTACCCAAAGTTACTCCCCACGTTTTTCAATAGTTTTATCCAAACAGTCACAACATTTTGCTAAATTTTTAAATAAAAATACCACTGAAATTCTATGTTTTTACTTTTTGTTTGGTTTTTAAATAAACTGTTTTGATTTGTCTCTTCTAGAGGTTAAATTAGGTTGAAATAATGTAAATTAAATATAATTCCCAAACGCTTATTTTTGATACATTTTTTATTTACATCTTTGCCTAAACATATTATTCTCTATACTCGAATTTAGTTAGCGTTGAATACGATTTAAGATTTTTAAATTAAACTAATTTTTTTCAATTCTCTGTTAAATTGCAGGTACAAACAACTCGTTAAGATATACAAAATACAATGTGCGCTGAGTCTATTATAGTTGTAAGTAAATTAACGCGAACACTTCAAAGCAATATTTTTATACGAAGAAAAATTATATCAAACAGTAATTATATTATGTTTTTACTAGTTTTCTCCTGTGAATATTGTACAGTACGACTAGGTTTAAAATATTAAACGCAATGGTAGACTTCTTTGAATGTGTTGCTATTAGACATCTGGCCATATACAACATAGTTTAGAATTAACCTTGTACAATTGAAAAAGAAATTAATTGCCAAATTGTTTAACAAATGTATTAAATGTAAATTTAATAACACTACTTACTAAATAATTGCATTGTTCCAGAGGAAAAATAAACTTAAACATAATGACCCGGTAAACATCAAGTAAATTCTATGTCAAGACAATGATCAATTAATTTTAATTGCGTGGAACTTATGATATGATATATCGCTGTATATTATTCGTTCCAGACTCATAATTTAGAGTAAGTACCTAGCCAGCAAGTAATATTTTTCGAGTAAAATAAATTTTCACCAGAATTCATAGATAAAATTCTATAAATTGTGATAGAAATAATGACATATGATGAAAACATTTTATAATTTGTCTGAAGATGAGTTGTTGACAATTTTTGCCAAGTCAGCAATTTCAATTTTAAAATGAATTTAGTATCATAAAAAATAAACCACCTGCGTATTAAAGAATAATAGATATAATCACTTTGAATTTTTCTCCACGTTATTGTAGTTATTTTTTTTTTCATAACCAATATAAAATTAAATAGTTTGTAAATATATCAATATGTTCAGAACATTTTTGTGAACAAAATTATAATAATTTGATGAGAATGATAACTACGTTGTGAACTTATCAAAAATCTTATTTACAATACGTATTTAATATTATGGTGTGGATATAATTAATAAAGTAGAACAAAATATTATGTATTATACTATACGGCAATAACTATATAAATTAAGGGAATTTTATATGGAACATTGATGTAGGTATAGGTAACAATGCAATATTATTATAGTGCGATTCAAAATTAGTAAATAATAAATACAATTTTTTGACCAAACATGTATACTTAACACGTACTTATTATACGTCTTATTATATGTTTAGGCAATGTATTTATGTAATGCGTAACTATAAAAAAAATGTCTTACATAGTTTGCTTAAGCATTATTAGATAACATCGACATCTTAATGTGTAACTATACTCATTTGTTGACTCACATGTACGTTAAACATTGGTTTTAAAATACACTTTGCAATATCGTTTTTAACTATTTATGCAATAAATAAATAGATAATAATTACATATTATAAAGAGAGTATAATAATAATGTGAATTATATTTTACAAACACTAAACTGAAGTTTAAAACGTTTACTTACAACATAATACTTCATACGTATCAGGTATGATGTTATCTAAAAGAATTAATTTATAAAATAATATTTATGTGGATATAATTATGTAATTATTCTATTGAAGAACATAATTAATTTACAATATAGTTTAATTTTAATTAATCCTAAACATACGCCAATTCAACGTGAAATAATCCTCATATTTGTAATAAATATATCCATGACAGATATATTTAGAAGCATTTAAAAATATTCTTACAAAAAAAAATCAAATAAAATCCCAATTTATTATTTTATAAATAGTCATTCAAATGTATGATTATATAATACATAATATATTAAATTAAATATTTAAATAATAGAAATATTAAATATAAAGACTAAAACTATTTATAATTTTGAAAGCAAGTAATTGAATAGTGTTAATTTATTCTTATAGCTTTGAAATTCATCAAACTGAACAACTAGAGTCTAAGCTGATTAAAAAATATATTATACCAAAGGGTTAAATAAGCAGCTTGCGTTAAAGCTTGACAAACGGACAGAGATTTTCTCTTTCATTTTCATCCAACACCTAACGAGTGTAATAATATATATTATGTACAAGTTGATTTTTTTTTCAAACGGCTAGGCTATATATTATCCAAGTATTATAGGATTTTACTATCCTTTTTTTTAAAAAAAAAAAAAAAACTTCTAATGGCAAAAGTAGGTAGTTGAATTCTGAAAAACTATAGCACAGTATATTATCCTTAAATGAGTTAAAAGGAAAAAAAACAATAAAAGAAAAATACAATCATATACCTAATGCCTGAATAAGATATTGTATGGTTGGCGAAAAAAAAATGCTCTTGTATATTACATGTAAGTCGAACAACAAAAAAAGAATCAACCTCAGAGTCAACGCTTCTTTTTAAGACTCACGTTAACTTGGAAAAAAAAATACAACCAATGATACCCACATGACTTTCGATTATAATTGTTTACGAAATAAGTTGTATAAATAATAATATTAAGAAGTTATAGAGATTAAAATAAAATTTTAGTTTTAATATTATTATGTATAGAAACAAATTAAAAAACAAACTATTATCTTCAGACGCGCTAAATATTCGTGTATGATTTATAGCTGAACATTTACTGCTTAGCCTTAGCATGTCACGCATTCTTATACCGTCGTCTGTCTGTTCTATATAGGGTCGTAGGCAGTTGTCCGAAAATTGATAACAGGTCTAACCGAAAAATAGTTGAGTTGAATCTATTGCCAACATCGAAACTTAAAAAAAATATGTGAAAATAATTATGGTTTCTTTTGGTGGTAGCACTACTTGTTTGAAATTTAAAAATAAATGACAAAATAACTACATTTAATATTTATGTTATGGTTATCAGATTGTTGTTCATTTATTTATAGCAAATACTATGATAGATTAATATAAATTATAATAAGCTAATAGTATTTGTTTATATAAGATAAGTTATACTTATATATATTATATATATAATTTATCCGAGTTGTTAATAGAACAACTGCAATCTGCATTCTGCATTGTGTTACTGTAAACCTTAGATCATAATATTATACAATATACAATGTATGTAAATTGTAAGCTGTAAACACAGATTATATTATTATATAATATTATAATATGATAATATGAAAAATTCATAAACCATAATCATACATCATAATTAAAGTGATCAGTAGTCGTGCAGTGTGTTACTGAGTTATTAAGACATAAGGTAATTTTATATTTTATTATTGGTAAAATACAGTATATTATACCTAATATATATTTTAATCAATGCTACTCGTCTCATAGAAGTATTATCCTGTGTCATCTATAATAATAATAAAGTCGTATGTGCCGATCACTGATGCAGTAGCCACTAGGAAGTAGGAGGTACACAATTTTGTAAGTTTTTGTAAATATAAATTTTAAAAACTATAATTCATCTAATTTACAATTGTAATAAAGTGTATACGAGACATGAGGTTTACATAATGGTGCTTATTTAACTCTAGACATTTTTCAATAACACATTTTGATTTTTGAGTTACGTAATTAAAAATGGTTGTTTAATGTTGAAAACATAATAGTATTAAAATTATATAATATTATGTAGGAATGCTACATTCTTTTTCCTTATAAACTTTTTGATTAGTAAGTACCTTTATATTTTATTTTTCTTGAAAAAACTAATTATTTTTCATTGTATTCGTCATTACTCATTATTCATACAAAAATATTAAGACTTAATATATATTATATAATATTTAATATTTGTTTGAAAATTATAAATAAAGAAATTTATACATTTTGAATAAAGGTTTGAGTACTTAAGGTGTGGTTATTAATATTTAATATTACACTAGATACAATGAATAGGAATGTTGTTATTGTTTATAAACAAGGCTGGTAAGTAAAATATTTTTTTTAAATTGTTAAGTTAAGTTAAGTTTATATAGAAAAATATAAGTTAAGTTGAAAATTAGTTTGGTACTTTTCTTTTGGTTTCAACTTGTAGAAGTTACAATTTAACTAGAAAATAAAACTATGTATTTATTTACCTAATGGTCGATAACTACTAAATTATAATTACCAAATTAATTGTTAGAATATTTTTAATTACCTACAAATATTATAATATAAAAATAATAACTTAAGATGACAATAAAATAAAACTTTTTAACTCGTTAGTGCCCAGCCTTGCTTATATTTAGGTGCATATTACATAATTAACCTAACCAAATAAATTATTTGAACAAAAATATATAAATCAAGTTTCTGGGTAGTAAAATAAACATTAACAGTAGTAATCACATTTAAAATTGATTCTGTGTCTTTGTCAAACAAAATATATAGATAACCTTAAGATTAGGGTTAGTTTAACAAAATATCAAATCAAAATATAAAATAATTAAAATTAAAAATTTACGTCTAAATTATAATATCCTACTAGGTATTCTAGTACTGGCGTACTGCCAAAATTCATTTAAGCTATTCATCATCTGTAAGTTAAAATTAATTTGTATTGATCATTATAAAATATAATATTATAAGTTATGTAAAAATATGTACCAGGGTGAATACCAATCTCTCAAAGCTACTATTTACCTGGCAAAAATGAAAATAACATCCTTGGGTTTTGCTCTCCGGAAATACTATTTTTGCAGCATTAATTAGCCCATACTCATAATCTGTTATTATGATTAAATCGGCATAATTCAATGGTAACACACTTCTGACGTACCTCAGAAGTTGTATGTAAATATCCTGTGTTTTGCCTGTGAGGATAGCATGAACTAGTGGGAAGCTCTGTACAACAAAAATAGTATGTATATTATTAAACTGGATTATTGTATAATAATTGAATAAATATTAACAAACTTACAACGTTTTTGAACAGGATATGGAATGAAAATATCTGATAAGCATCATTATCCAAAAATTTTGGTACAGTTTTGAATGTCCCGTCACAACCCGCTACACGGACCTAAAAATGATAGACAGAATTGTACACAAAGTAATTTATATTGCGTTTACATACATTTCTTAAATTTTGTTTGATTTTCTGTATATGAGCTATGTTGCAAAACAGGACACCTTTAATAACTCCATTCACAACCAATGGGCCTTGATAAAATCTATGCATAGGTTATTATTAAATAGATTTAATTTATTCAATTTAATTTTGTAATCAAATTGTATTTTACTGTAATTTTTGTAATGTTAGTGTAAACATTTGGTTTTCATCATTGCTAAGCAAATTGTGGAACTCTAAAATATTTTGAGGTGTTGCTGGGAACATTCCTTGTCGCAATCGCCTCATTCTTTCTGCACACTGAACGAAGGTATAATTATTTGCAGCTTCTGGAAAACTATTGAGTAAAAAAATAAGATTCAAACATATCAGAAAGGTAGTACATAACCTTACCTAAATTGTTAATCATAAAACCTAATATAAAATTACTAATATTTGTTTTATTTTTTAGACAAAGATAAATATGAATACCAACTTCACAATCGATTCCATGTATATACCACGAGGCACATATGAATTTACAGTTTTTATTAAAGCCTTTTCTGTAATGTGTTGTCGAAGGAATGGAACATCCAAGTTGTATGGTTTTACTGGATGACTATGTTGATTTGACATCTTAAGACTTTTGTTTTCTCGATCTGATGATATGACTGCAGTTCCCCCACATTCCCCCTTTTTTTTTCCAAGCATGCCAAATAGCTAAACAGTTACAATCATAAGTCATAAGGTACTGTATAACTTAAAATTAATAGTTTTATTTAAATGTATTTTAAATTTTAATCTCACATTTTATTTTCAGTACTTTTGTTTTTGTAGTACATATTACCCAAATTGTCACAGATTATTTCTGTGTTCCTTTGTGTACCAGGAACTATGGTGTAACTATGTGGCTGGACATTGGGCATAGGAAGAACAGAGAGTACTTGTTCTTGAGGTTCTACTATCATATATACAGATAAACAATTGAGTACATACCTTACAGTTATTATTGGGTTTAATTCAATTCAATGTCATGCAATTAACTATATAATCAACTTACCAGCTTCATTTTGAATTCTACAGTAATCGTGATCATGATTTACAATATCTAAAAAAACATATAACTTTTAGTATGTCTAGAACTCAAAATGAATGGATTGGATATTGAATATTGATTTGGAATTTGGAATGAAGTACCCTACATATCAAAGGTGGGCAAGTAATAACTCAAGTTCAGTTAAGAGAACACAAAATCTTTAAGTTAGAAGTTTATTTTTTATTTATTGAACTTTAATCGTAATATCTATTGTGCAATGTATATACCTATTTTAATTTACTTGAATAATTAAACAAATATCAATTTTATAAAGAAAAATTACAGACATTTTTGTATTGGGTTGTTTTGACTCGACCTTTTTAACTAATTAGTGACCACTTTTTGACTAAATACTTGAACTACTTTGGGATTTCAGCAATCAAAGGAAATTGTTAAATACATACCACATTCCACAGTAATAGCTTGTTCTAGAGACATCGTTCAAAATTAAAAACTAGAAAATCACAGAAAATGAAAATTCAATTAAAAAATCTAGAAAATCACAGAAAATGAAAATTCAAAAATCCAGAAAAGTAAAGAAAATGTTCTTAATTTAACCTTATAATTTAATAAAATACCTGTATTATATTATATGATGATAATATTTATATATAAATATTTATATTATGTCTATATAACAATTAAAATGTATACCGACTTTTGTATGTAATGGTTGGCAACGCTTTTTGGTTTTCGAACTGTTATCAGTCGTCAGCTCCTTATCATTTTTCGGACAACTGCTGATCTCCCTTCTATATAATAAAGTCCTGTGTAACGTTTATGATATATATATAATGGTAGGTAACATTATTTATGTGATAGGACCTGCAAACTATAGTTAGTCCTGTGAACTGTAAATTTTTTTCATTATAATGTTATATGTGTTTTATGTTCAAATTACGCAGGAAACAATAACTAACAACGTAAATTCAAAATATAAATGCATCGTTACGATGACGTTTTTTAGCCATTTACAAAATTTAACTACAATTTATTTTTTATCTACGTAAGTGTAATATATTACATTTTGTGAAGTCTGTGGAATTAAAATGCACTATTATCGTGTACTTGCGTTTCCTATTTATATATATATATATATAATAATATGTAAATATTATCATGATAACAAAAGTCGATGATGGAATACGTTTAAAAAAGAAAATCCATTACAATATATTATTATATAGCTAATGTTGTGTAGTGCGTCACAAATAACGTTTAACATACTATAATATAGGTAGGTACCTATTAGCATTATATCATTACATACACGGTATAGTGGAAGCACTGTGAACGAAATTAGTTCCGGAATCCGTATTATAGGAAACCTATTGTTACTTGTTAGTCACGGTTTATTGTTTTTTGTTAAATAATAACAACATTTATATGAAATACGCACGTCGAGGCCAAAATTCTGGAGTTTTTAGTGAATCTCTCGGGTTTGAAACTATACACACATATTATAATGGTGTACGACGTACGTAATATATAAACAACCTAAGGGTACGTAAAGTTTTTTTAAACATTTTCAACGACGCATTAGTCAAGAAAAGAAGAATTTATAACGCAGAGTTATTCGCATTACCGGAACTTTTTGGCGTCGGCCGTACATCGCTCACAGAGACAGTCAGCTAAGACCGGAAGTCGTCCGGAAAATCCTAGCTATGTCAAGCCGAGGCCATCACATATGCTCAACGTGACAACATATTATCCATACACCGCATTCAATACCTGTGTGAAATGGATACGGCGTTGGAGCTTATTTTCTTTCCCATCGTAGGTACTTACTATAGTATCATAACTCATAATATTATTTATAAACAACAAAGTGCATAGAAATAAATATCCGATATAATACTACATCGACATAATATTGTTACAATACATAATATTATTGTTAAAATACAATCACGCTGGTCTTGCTTTTGAATCAAAATCAAAATAAATACTTTATACACCAACTGCAGTTTTACCTTTTTTGTGGAACGGGTATGAACCGGGGCAGCCCAGTCCGATCATCGTCAAGCAATACACCATTACTTAAAACAAAATATTATTATGTCCATGCAGCATAGCTATTAATATACTCGTCAAAAGTTTTGCATAAAGTGTTGTGATTTCAAGATAAAATTTATTTATAGTTCATTGTATGTATGATTTATTTATCAATACAAATCAAAAATAAACTGCAGACGGTGTTGATGAGAAATTTTGAATTGATGCTTTGATAAAAGTAAATAGTAGGTAAATTAAGATTAACATTTTACTCAGATGTAGGTAAAGTATTGTAAGCTAAAAGTGTAGAGATCCACACTTCTAAACTAGGTATTTTAAATATAGATAAAAACGGTTTGTATTATCTGTATAATTTAAACAATGAATTACCAGTTTGATTAGTATTTAAAATTAGAAATTTATTGAATAATGCATACCAGAGAATAGCGTAAAGGTATATTGCATATTTAATTTTTTTATCACCCGGAAAAAATTGAAGCATCAATGTTTTATTGCTTCGGCATTTCCCACTGGTGACCTTTCAATAGTAAAAAAAAAACCATTTGTTTGAACACGTCTCGTGAAACCATATTATTATATGTATATATACAGAGTGATTACTTTAGAGTAAAAAAACTCATTATTTCGAATAAGTAGGTACTATAAAACTCAAAGATTTATAGCGATATACCAATAGCCAAAACACAACTTTTTCTGCAACAATTTCGGCTTAGTAATAACTTTAATTAATTATGTAAACATAATAATATGATTTCAACAACGTCAATATAGTTTTTGAAATAATTAACTTAAATAAATCACCCTGTATAATTCAAAACGTTATCGTGTGATATTTAAAGCCTGCAGGTCGTAAACGCATGTGATATTTCCTCTTTAAATACAGAGATACAGATTAAAATACAAACGCTTACTGCATGACATAATAATATAACCCTTTAATGTCGACATCAAAAAGACCTATATAAAAAAAAATTAGTTAATTTTATCCGCAATTCGTCGGCAGCTGGAAGTAGACGGACGAAGTTTTAGTTCTGATGACTGCGGAAGCTAACCTGTGATAAATTTGATAACCGTCGTTGGTATATGTGCATAAATATTTAACGGTTATTTAGTTATTAATTATTATACTTATTATTTCTATAAAAAAAAAAAAATAAAAAGCTGTTGTACGTAGTTATCACATTTTGTGCGGTATAATAAGTAATAACTGCTGGTAATAGGTATATACAATTTTGGAAAACGTACTATTTTCAAAATACTGATTATTCAGTAGAAGTGATAGTGATTTTCTGTATCCAAGCATTTCCAATAAAAAAAAAAAATAAATACATTTTGGAAATAGTTCGTTTTGGTATAGTTACTGATAACACGGGAAATAGTACGTTATGGCGTAAAACTGGAAAAGTACCTCTTGATTTTCTAAATATATTTTTATTTTTGTATGGAAATGGTTAACCAGTCATTTCGAATAGCGGATTTGACCAGGAAAAGTAGGTTTCGATCTATCTTGACGAAGCCGATCGATTTATCGATGATTTTTTCGATAGTAATAATTAATATCTAACTAGATTTTGTCAATTTTGGCAATAGGTAGTATGTTTTGGATTTCCACCCGCCTCATATATTATGTAACCTACCTACTTAACTCCCGACATACAATACAATCCGAGGTAGAAGTGAAAAGTTTTACAGTCTGTTGTAATTTAAATTATTCCACTTCGTTAACTGTGTTATGTAGTACATGCGTTGTAGTCGTCATCGGACGAAACTATAATATATAGATACCTACCTACTTGGGTGCAATTTAAAATATCATATTGTTGGGGTCTTGATAATGTGAACCGATTCTCACGCATCGGAGGCGTTCGTCCCCGCTAATACATATAGTAAGAATTATGTTATATTATCGTACAGAACCTCGTCGATTATAATAAAATATTATTATGTCCCACGCCCACCCGCGGTGGGTATCAGACATTCCGCCGCGGAAACTTTGCTAATTGTTACACTCAGCCCCATGGATTTTACGACCGAGTACGATTTATGTCCGTTTAATTTGATGTAATTTGTAAAATTGTAATAATAAGTATAATAACAACAAGAACAAGAACAAGAACAACAATAATAATATAGGAACCGAAAACGAATTATCCGACGAAGTATTCAAAGTCCTAACCAGTTGAATTTCCAATGCCAAACGCTTTCTCATTCCTCTAGCAGCTAGTGACGAATGTATATATATTAATACAACATAGTATAATATAAACTTTTAAATTAATTGTAATTACTATCATTATTAATATTAATTAATCTTTTATTCTATTTTACTTTATAAAACAAAATGTCATCTCACTTTAAAATAACATATAATATATACCTATTAAACATAATACGATATAGCCATATAGGTACCTAATAAAACATAATATTAACATGTAATAATTAGGTCAAGTTTAATTTAAGTAATAACTATTTAAATAAAAACATGAGATCATTCAAAAAATAAATTAAAATTAACCATAAGCCTGCAATGGCTCAGCTACGGGGGCCCTTAAGACTAATAAAAAAAATAAACAAAATTATAATGATAATATTATTT